GGGAGTTTAGAATCTGAATTTTGACAGTGGGGGGCCCAGAGGAAGGAAAAGGGATGAATGGGAGAGATGAAGGGATGAATAAATGCAGGCATCACTTCAGGCCTCCCTCTCACAGAGTCAGAGAGAAGTTTCACTGGCTGTGGTCAGATGACAGGCTTAGCATGGTCTGGCTGTGCTTCCAATTTCATCTGGGATTTTTTGTAATGGAGAGTTTTGATCAGACATCCCACCCTAATCCGCTTCACCGTGTGCTCACTCCATGGTTGATCGATCAGATTACTGCTGTGCAGCAACCACAAAGTAGGTGGTCAGGCAGCTTTTTGTTTTAACCTATCTTTTGCACATGCGCATAACTGCACGTGGTGTGGCAGGAAGAAAAAAGTCCCAGGGGTGCAATCATGACCACTGATATAGGGCTGGACTACGGACTACTTTCACCAGTGTACCACACCAAAAATTAGCAGAGAGGGTTTTTTTCCTTTGAATCTGTTGCTCAAAAAAACACCCAGGGGAGCTCCCAATCCAAACAAGGTGTTTCAGCATGTAAACGCACAGGTGGCACTTCACAGCCATGGTGCGAAAATGCAGTTATGTGCATATCGCTAATCAACAAAAAAAGGACACAAAACTAGAACACAACATTCAGACTTCCCAAATGGCTTAAGAGTACGATGGATTGATCAGACATCAGGAAATGTAGGGTGAAACCGCTGACATTCGTAAAGACCAGACTTTCCTCGGTGTCAAATAACTAAGACTCAAAGATGGATAAGAACAAGGTACTGATAACTGGGGAATGGGTGACAGAACCTGCATTTTAAATCTGCAGGGTAACAGCAACGACATTGGATCAAACAGCTCGTCTGATCACAGCTACTGAGGTGTCTGGGTTGTACCATTTCAGATTGCAGATGGGGGGGGGGCTTGCATGATTGACTGCTCCTCCGTACAAAACAAAATCACTACACAAAGAGAACCAGTGTGTCAGGCAATGCATGGAGAGGCATTATGTCATTTCTTATGGTTGGAAAATGCATGATGCAGCAACCCTTCTGGAGCTAAGCCAGATCTGGGTGCAGCTGGCAAATCTGCCAAAACCGATAAAATCACATGTCATTCCCCCCACCCCAGTCCAAAACGTTATAGCCCAGACACAGATTAACACTTCAGGGAGAACTAAGCCTGTCTGGGAGATCACTGAGGGATTGTAGGGTTAAGTCAGAGCAAAGGTTTCCACATAAAAGGTGGGTTTTGTGGAAGGGTTTGAAGGAATACAGAAAAGTGAGATGCTTCAGGATTCCAGGGTGGGGGTTCCAGGTATAGGAGGCAGCCAAGGAAAAGGGGAAGAGCTGATTAAGAGAGAAGACAGCCTTTCAATGACTGTGGACGGTTATTGGAGAAGAAAGGATGGGCTTTTGCAGTATTGTATAGAGAGGAGTAACATGATGGTGACAGACTGAATACGGAGAGCAAAGAAGTAGGAGTGGGAATCAAAAGTAAAGTCAAGGAACTTTTGCACCTACTCAACTGAATAAGGAGTTATGTAATAATGGATATGGAGATGAAGGCTTGGAGGATAAGATAGTCGGTTCAGTCTTGGACACAGAGTTTGAGATGACATCATGTAGACACATCTGCTTGGCAGTTGGAGACTCAGAGGAGGTGGAAAGGGTTTGGGCCAGAGAAACATGGCTGGATTTTACCAAGTATAGGTTTAACAAGCTCACCCGCAGGAATGGACAACCAAGAAGTAAAACCTAAGGAACTACAACATACAGCAAAGAAGTTTCTCAGTGAACATATCAAATGGGTAATTTAGTAGATAGAAAGAGACAGCTGATAACAGTATCTTAGAGTCTTAAGACATACAGGAGAAGAGGTAGTCAACTGTGCTACCGAAGACAATGGAAAAGTCAAAGAGGCTGTGGACAACACAGACATTTAGATTTGGCAGTGGTTGGTAATTTGACAGAAATCATTAGCTATTTTAGTGAAGGCTATTTTAGTAAAGAGCAGAAACAGCATTATAGGAAATCGGGAGAGAAGCTGGATGAGAAAAGGTAAGGAGAGCACATTCCTGGAGGTTTGGGAGGTGATGAATAGAAGAAAGATCAGATAATAGAAAAGGGGCCAGCAGTTGTTCAAGGAAAGAAAATTGGGAATAGTGGTTTATTTTAACATATTAGGAGAACTGGAGGAAATGCATACATTGACTAGATAGTGGAGGCCAAGGTGGGCGTATAATTGTGGGGGAATGACAACTGGGAGCTGGGAAAGGAGATGATCAAGGTGCTATATTGAAAGGCTGTATCAAGATCTCACCTTAGCTTAGATGGAACCCTGGTCTATGGAATTCTTGACCTAAGGAATGGACCGTACTTCCTTTCAATGGCTTGGCATGGAATAACATTTAAAGCAAAACAACAGGTTGGATCCTGACTAAATTCCCCACCAACTGAAGGAGAGATCTCATTTCCACCAATTCCCCATTCCTACTGCAGACCCTCTTATGGCATTCTTGATGGTCCCCTGTTTTCTGGGACCAGCATTTCAGGGAATGTACTGCCATGGGAGGCAGGAAAGTTACGCTTCACTGACGAAACTGCTTTCTGCCAGCAGAAAATTCAGCTTGGATCCAACCTAACATTCAGATCTACAGTTAAGGGAAAGCAAGTGGACTCTTTATCCAAGATTAAATGCAGCATTCCCATTTGCTATGTCAGTCATAGGATTAGATCCTGTAGTCTAGAGGATAATCAAAAACTTTGTTGACTGTACTGAAAAGGGCTTTCACTAAGATGTTTTTACCACCCCCATTTCTAGCTGTCTAATCCATTTATTACATTAACAGCTTCTTGCTTCTTTGTACTTTCAGACAGCAGAGAACAACTTCGTGATTTATTGCTGCTCAATAAAGGCACACTCCTCCCGCATCTTTTATTTGTTCACTATAGCAGAAATTAACTTACGTATGGAAAGGGGGGAAACAGTAATAACCAGGATCACTCTCCCAGCTACCCTATAATTTTTTCCCAACTGCCCTTTGTGCTCCCACTCTTATTTTAATTAGATCTTGATCTATCTTCAAACCTACTTCCTTCACCTCTCAACTGCAGGAGCCCCAGGCATGAATAATACATGCTGAACAAACATGAAAATCAATCCGTTCATGAGGACCTATCATTCAATAGATTCAATGGTCACTGGCCGGCTGCCCCGTTGGCCTTTAACCAGCAACGTTCAGCTGTCAACTAGTGTCACTACAGTACACAAAAATAAAGCCAAAATTAAAATGGTTTTTTTTAATTACCTGAGATTTTAAAAATACCTCGGGAAATTTACCTTATGAAAATGGATTGGACAATAAACCCTATACCTAGGACAGCTATATAAGGCTTAGAACACAAGCCTGTGTTAATTTAAATAAGTAGTAACATCTAAATCTAATTTTACTATTCAACTTTGGTATATATAAGCAAACTTGGCGTATGATGCCAATGAAACATCTTACTCACAGCAAATCAGCTTGACTACAAGCAAATCCGAAAGGCTTTTCAAGCGATCACTTGGTACATGTTCTCTGCTCAACTTCTAAATGTAGAAAATTGTTCTGGCTGGACATAAACTTTTAAAAAATCACGTATCTCAGTCCTGTTAATTCCAAACATCCTCCTTTGCACCAGCATCACACCCATTATTTCTGTGACAATTAACACCTTATGCCGGCCACATGACCACAGAAATGTCTTTGGACTAGGGTTGCCAAGTGTAAATGCCTCCGGAGCGGGGGACCCGGAAGTGACGTGACGACACCAGAGACGCTGGGGACGGGGCCACGACCATCCGAGGGAAAACCATAGAGTTTTCCCTCGGGTGACCGTGGCCCCGCCCCCAGTGTGCCCGGTGTGGTCGTGTCCCTTCTGGGTAACACGCACGTCGGGGTGGGGTTCCCCCCGGGGCCCGATCTGCCAGCGGCGGGGAATGGGCCTCTGGGGCAGGGGTTTCCCCACCCCCCAGGGGGACTTGGCAAGCCTACTTTGGACAGTGCTGGCTCTTCGGCTTTGAAACGGAGATGAGCACCGCAACCCTAGAGGTGGATTTGAGTGGCTTTCGAGCAAGGGAACCTTTACCTTTACCTTTATCTTTTAGTTATATTTTGCTTGTTTATACTTGTTGTTCTTCATAATACAATCAAAACTGTCAAGAAAATAGTAGTAGTTAACAATGAAAGAACTATATTATTGGACAGTCCACTCTTGTCAGAGTTCTTTACAGGTACATTTACTTATTATACTAAAACATGTTCCAGAATGCTCCCACTTCAACTGAATAGTACATTTTTTTAAAAAATCATCTTTCTACATTTTTTTTTCTGCCACAAACAGGAACACCTTTTAGGCTCCACATAGTTGACCAACTACTTTAGCAGTAAGGGAACTGTGCAAATAGAATTTTAATTTATTTGGTTCATTGCCTGGGACATCAAGAGGGAGCTGCTGTAACTTCTGAATACATTTGTCTTGCTGCATTACATCTGCATAGTTTGCAAAATTTGGCAGCATCTGGAAACAAACCGTTTAAAGCACCATTAAAAGCAAACCAGAATGATTGGAACTGAAGGAGTAACTGCACAGTCCCTGCTGGTCTCTATTAACCGTGGTGATCAAGGGTGGCCTGTGTGGACTGTAACAACTGTCCCATCTGGACAAGTCCTGACAAATTCTGGACTTGCAAGGGATTTTGCTTCCACAAAACGTCATTTTCAAATGCATTCCTCACATACCATTTAAAGGGTAACAGGAGCAAGAATTCTATAAATTTAATTTTATGGGTAGAATGTTTATAACAGCAAGGATAAATGACCAGTATCTTTCCAATGAGAACTCAGATACTTCCCCCTTTGCTTAGCAAGGTAAAACATGGTCTTTCAAAGGCACACCAGTCATGACGTTTAGCCCCTGCCTGCCTAATCAGTTTACCTAATCAGACATAACACTTACCGGCTACAACTCCAGCGATGTAGACAAACCCGATCCTTGCTGCCCCATGAACCATTTCAAGGGGGACTCCAACCAAAAGCTGAAGAACTACATTTAGTCCAAGGTGCTCAATCCTGGGGCAAAGGGAGATAACATTTTAAAAATATCATGAATTTAACTTGCCAAGTGCAAACCTTTTGTATGTGGAGCCAGAATTAACCCTAGGTAGATCTTAGGGTGTGGGTTTAATTTAAAAAAAATTGTCAAGAGGTTATTTTTAAATGCTAAATCAAACAAAAGTTGGCTGATTCCATATTTTAATCAATGTTGTTCAAATGATTCATAATTGTTCTGGAGCCAAAGGGGAGCAGAGCATTTTGCAGATGACACTGCATCACTCAGACAAGTTGTTCTGATATCTCTTTATGGGGTTAATGGGCAATATTGTGGCAAGACAGATCCAATGTATGTAAGGACAAAAAGCGAAGTATGGGGTGGGTAGTAAACTTAACAATATATATGCTGATAGGATTTGAATTTCTGGCAACCCAGGAAACATAAACTCAGTAAGCAGCCCTAGTGAAAAAGGTAAACGCACTACTGGGAATGATTAGGGAGAGGAGTGGAAACAAAGCTGCTGGTATCATAACACTTTTTGTATAATTCTATGATGCAGCCACATTTGGACTACTGTGTACAGTTCTGGTTGCCTTACCTCCAAACAGAGACCAACAAGGCTAGGACAGAACAGACGGGAGTAAACAAAATGATCCACCACTATTGGAACAGTTTACCTACAAGGAAAAGCTGAACGTTTATGGGCTATTTAAGTTTAGGCAAAAAAGACAAGAAAAAGGAATATGTGGCACATGGATCCTGCAACTGTAGGAATAAACATTCCCAAGGTCAGAAATGGCTGCCGGGGGGAGCGGAGAATGCCAGGAAATTTGGCAATCCTTATGTGGTAAGATGAAGAAGAAGAAGAAGAGGAGGAGGAGGAGGAGGAGGAGGAGATTGGATCTATACTCCGCCCTTCACTGCCCAAAGGAGTCTCAGAACGGCTTACAGTCTCCTTTCCCTTTCCCTGTGAGGTAGGTGGGGCTGAGAGAGCTCTTTCAAGAACTGCTCTTTCCAGAACAGGTCTGAGAGAACTTGTGACTGACCCAAGGTCATGCCAGCAGCTGCATGTGGAGGAGTGGGGAATCAAACCCGGTTCTCCCAGATTAGAGTCCATGCTCCTAACCACCACACCAAACTGGCTCGTTTTGCTAGATCCAATCCTATGAATATAGTTGAGAGAGCAGATAGAAAGAGATTTTCCCCCTTATCTCATAATGTTAGAACTCATGGTCATCCAGTGAAACTGTCTGACAAGAGGCTAAGAATGGACAAAGGGAAGTATTACTTCATAACAACCCGTTGTTAACTTTTTAAATCGATTGTTAACTTATGGAATTCACTGCTACAGGATGCAGTGAAGGCCGCTAGCTTCATGTTAGACAAATTTATGGAGGATAGAGCTCTCAATGGTTCTTAGTTATGACAGCTAAATGCAGCCTCCGTGCTCACAGCTTTATCTGGGACAATGTGGTTATACAAGGAGATCCAGATTCAAATCCCAACCTGCCATGAAACTTGCTCAGTGACTTGGGTTTACTCTAGTCATATCATCTCAGCCCAACCTACCTCACAGGGCTGTTGTGATGATAAAATAGGGAAGGGAATTGTAGCATGAACTGGCTGAGCATTAGTAGAATGAGTGGGCTATTTAAAGATAAAGTCCATACTAGGGTCTTTAAAGAAGACACTGCTAAAGAAATCCATACTGTTATAGGCAGGGGTAATTTCCTACAGGAGCGCACAGGAGTGGAGCTCCGGCAGTAAAGAGCCCAGAGGGCGGGCACATGCAACAAGCCCCGCCCCCAGCAGCCCTCAGTCAGAGCATGAAGCAGCCAGGTAAGTTGCAGAGCCCCCCCCCCCGGTCCAAAACAGTCCAGTGGCACCTTTAAGACCAGGTTTTATTCAGGTACAAGCTCTCCCTCCTCTGCGAGGACAGATCTGCACATTCCCCCCCCCCCCCAATAGCTAGCAATCCAAAACAGTCCAGTGGAGCCTGAGCGGTGGGTATTGCCTTCTGACACACTTCCGGTGATGTCAGGGGGTGTGGCATATGCAAATAAGTTATGCTAATGAGTTATGCTAATGAGCTCCTGCACTTCTTTTTCTACGAAATGACCCCTGGTTATAGGAAAGGAGAGACAGGCATTCTAGCTAGCTATCTTAACTCAAGGATGGAGAAGGTCAGAAAAAGAGCACAAAGAACAAGAGCCAGAAGGAAGTCCTTAAGAACAACAATCTGAGATCAAAGAGACAGCAGCAGGACGGACAAGAGGAAAGGATACAGAGGGAAGCGACCTGACTAGCTCTACTCTCCCCTCTAGTGGTCTACTTGGTGCAAAGGGACATTCCTTCATTTCCATGAGGGAGAACACTTGTTTACAATGAATAGGTCTGAGTGGACTGAAGATAAGCCATCAAGTGATCCGGACTCAGTCTCCACCCCCACCTCCCACTTGCTTACCTCATCTTTCCAATACTTGTTTGTGGAAAGTTTTTGTTAGAGGAATAACAGAATCTCATTCGCTTGGAATGCTTTCAGCTGCACTAGAGGTATTGCTATGAAGAATCAACAAGCCCTTGCAAAAATGATAGCTTTCTATATAAATATGTCTCATTACCCCATCTGCCATTTTTAAAGGATTCTTTCATACTAGCCTCTGTTTTCTCACACTCATTCTCAAAAAAGGGAGAATGGGTGACCCAAGAAACTAAAGACCAGTCAGTCTGACCTCTGTCCCAGGGAAGATACTGGAGCAGATTTTAAAGGGGTCAATCTGTAAGCATCTGAAGGACAACTTGGTGGCCCGGGGAAGGCAGCATGGATTTGACCCCAACAGGTCCTGCCAGACCAACCTCATTTCCTTTTTTGACTGAATGACGAGCTTTCTGGATCACGGGAATGCCATCAACATTTCTTTGGATTTGAGTAAAGCTTTTGACACGGTTCCTCATGATGTTCTGATGGGTAAACTGTTAGACTGTGAACTGGACTCTAGGATAGTTAGGTGGATATGAAACTGGTTGGAGAACCAAACCCAAAGAGAAATTGTCAAATGGCATTTCATCTGATTGGAGGGAGGTATCCAGTAGGGTCCCACAGGGATCAGTTCTGGGCCCTGTGCTTTTCAATATTTTCATAGGTGATATGGATAAGGGGGTGGAGGTACTATTCATTAAATTTGCAGATGACACCGTATTGGGAGGAATAGTGAACACCCCAGAAGATATAGAATTCAACGAGACCTGAACACACTGGAAAAGTGGACAAATGTAAATAAGATGCAATTCAACAAGGATAAGTGCAGAGTTCTACAGCTGGGTAACAAAAATGGCAAGCATCCATACTGGATGGGGGACACACTTCTGGGTAGCAGTGTGTGCAAACAAAATCTTGGGGTATGGGTGGACTGTAAGCTAAATATGGGCCGTTAGTGTGATACAGAAGCAAAAAGGGCTGATGCAGTCTTGGGGTGTATCAACAGAGGTTTCACATCCAGATCACAAGATGTCATAGTCCCTCTGTACATTGCATTGGTTAGGCCACACCTGGAGTACTGTGTGCAGTTCTGGAGGCCTCAATTCAGTAAAGATGTGGACAGAATTGAGCAGGTAAAGAAGAGAGCAACAAAGATCATCAAGGTCCTTGAGACCAAGCCCTATGAGGAAAGGCTGAGGGAGCTGGGAATGTTCACTCTGAAGAAGAGGAGGTTGAGGGGGAATATGATTGCCCTCTTTATGTATTTGAAAGGCTGTCACCTAGAGGAGAGCAGGAACCTGATCTTGTTGGCAGCAGAGGGAAGGAATCGCAATAATGGGTTTAAATTATGGGCAGAAGGATTCCAGCTGGATATTGGGGGGGGGGATTACAGTAAGGGTGCAGTCAGACGGCGTGCTGAGAGCAGGTTAAATTGCTCCGGTTCTGACCGGATTATATTTGATCTGGATAATCGCGATCACACTTACCTCCCTTATCCCGCCTCACCGCGCAGTCACATCGCTCCCCGGTGTCTACACTACCGACGCACGGGAGTGTGTGCTGGTGGATTTTTAAAATTTTTCTCAATTTGTGCATGCACATAGGCACTCATCCGTAGAATGGGGAGGAACTACCATGGCGCATGCGCAGAACCACCAAGGCGAAGAATCAATCCAACCCCTCCAACAAAAGACTGCCCTTTAAATGTCTGACCCAAAAATGGCCTCCGTGAGATCCCGAACTCATCAAAATTCTAAAACAAGTGACCGTTTAAATGTCGGTTTTCTAAACACGGTAGCGGAGCTCCACCTATGCGCACACCACCGACGCTAAAAAAAATGGCAGGCAAAAAGCGGAAGCAGCGGGCAGCTTTCGAGCGGATTTAAACCGGAAGTGGCTTGACACCGGAGGAGTGATCACACAGGGGGGTAATGCGGCTTTAAACAGGAGAGCTGAGAAAACACCACTTTGGAACCTGGTAACAAAATAGTCTGGGTTAAAGCGGTTTTGAGCCGGAAACCAACGGCTGGGGATGGGAGGCAGATGTTGATTGTGTGATCGTGCATATAAAATCCATTTCTAAAGCGTGATGAAAGCTGATCAAACAGCCCGTCTGAACGCACCCTATGAGTGACTAGGCTGCCTAGGGAGGTAGTGAGCTCCCCATCACTGGCAGTCTTCAAGCAACAGCTGGATGAACACTTGTCAGGGATGCTTTAGGCTGATCCTGCATTCAGCAAGGGGCTGGACTAGATGGCCTGTATGGCCCCTTCCAACTCTAAAATTCTACACATTTTCCCCACACACTTAATTATTAGAAGTAACAACAACCTGATCAGTGTTGATTATCCCCTATTAGAGACAACGGTTTTTTAAATCACTGAGTTTTTCACATTAACATCGAGTCAAGTGTTTAAAAGCAATTTGAAAAACAGGTGAAAATGTCTATTCATTCTTATAGAGAGGGAAACAGAGCTATATACAGGCTGGTATCACTGGAGGAGTCATGGGAAGGCACCCAACATTTTCTAACAAAGAATATAGCTTTCTTTTAAATGTCTCTTATAAAGCAGCGATTTATGAGACCCTCACCAGCTTCATTCCCTCAGTGGGTTGGAGGCAGGCCTGCGCTTTAAAAACAACTCAAGAAGATTTCCATTCAGCCCAACTTCGGCTGGGGCCAAGAGTTTCAGAGTCCCATAGTCAATAAGCACCCATAAAACATAATTAGCTTTCTAATGCTTTGAATGTGTCATTCTTTAGATGACAATATAATTGATTTATCAAGGCTTCAGCCTTCTCTGCAACCAAACAAATGGGCCCTGGACTCAAAGCAAGGCATTAGTTATGGAAGCAATACAAATGGGTGTCCCCCCCCCCCCCAGTTAATTCACGTCAGCTCTGCTTTAAAGTGGACGGCTAAAATTTACAGCTCTGGGTTCTTATAGAGCTTTTCTCCAACAGGACTGGGACACAAGAGCACATTTTTGGGGAAGCTCTCAGGAAGCACAGGCAGCCCACCCTGAATGACCAGCTTCTCCTGCGATACCTTCTGGCTGTCACATTTGCCCATGAGAAAAAAAAGCAGATGAGCACAGTAAATTAAGAGCTCCAAATTAACATTTTAAAGTCACTGCAGGAAGTGTGACAGCAATAGACTTCACCACCTTTGTATTAGCTTGCCCTTTGGGGAGGGGAAGGAGAGTGAAAGAAATAATGGTCTCACCACTTAAAGGGGTGGGGGGGATATTATTTTTTTCCAAGATTTATTTTATTCTCCAGATGGGAAAACAACCTAAATGTGGGTAAGCTGGGTATAAATGATAGTTTAGTTATCTAACTGTGCTCCGTATTCCATCATTAAAAAATACAGCAGGGATTGCTTCTCGCATAGGGAATATGTGTGTATGGCTTTGATGGTTTGCACATCTAAAAGATTTAGAATCTACTACAGAAAGCAATAAAGCTACACCGGCTAATATTTACAGATGTGAGGCACTGGATACTGTGTCTTCCCTAGAGCTCCCCTTGGAAACCAGCCAAGGGTGTGAAAGAAACGTGATAATTAGAAGGTTCAGCACATTTTTCAAACAACACGACAGACTAATGGCAACAGGATACTTGTCAAGGCAAAGGTTAGAGTTTTTTGTGGGTAAGGAAGCCATACTGAACAGAGTTTAAGCACTTGTCTCTTGTATGTGTCTTGGCATCCATACATGGGGTGGGGGGATCAATTCTTTTCATTCCAATAGATTCCATAGCACTGAAATGCTATTTCTAAAGATTTGGGAGACTTTCATTTCTTTTGCCTTTATCATAAACAATGCGAACTTTTGTCCACATCTTCCTCCACCCCTGCAACCCAATCTTTGTCATGGAATTATTACTTCAAGGGTGTTTATTATTCTAAAGGAAAACTGTCACTGCTAAGTGATCTAGATTATTGCCCCACCAAAAAAAACATCTACCGAAGGCAACAGCATTCCTTATATGTCATAATGTGTGTATTCTCAGCTGTATTTAAAAAAAAAAAAAAATCCAACTAAGCATTTTAGGACACAACTAGATATGATGCCAGGAGATGTATGAATGTATCTCCCAATGTTTTTTAAAGCAGGGGAAAAGAATCTGGAGTGAGACTATAGTGTGGTGGGGAGGGCTTAACCCTTCTTCTCCTCATCATTTTCCTGATGTAAACTGTTCTCCAAATGCTACCAGACTCACAGCAGACAGTTATAAAAACAGTGTACCCTATGCTGGAGGAAGTTCTTCCAGTTTAAAGGGCCTTCGTCCACTTTAAATGGCTCCTCTGTTGTTGGAAGAGTCTCCTAGACTCACAGCGGACAGTTACAAAAACAGTGTACCCTATGCTGGAGGAAGTTCTTCCAGTTTAAAGGGCCTTCGTCCACTTTAAATGGCTCCTCTGTTGTTGGAAGAGTCTCCTAGACTCACAGCGGACAGTTACAAAAACAGTGTACCCTATGCTGGAGGAAGTTCTTCCAGTTTAAAGGGCCTTCGTCTACTTTAAATGGCTCCTCTGTTGTTGGAAGAGTCTCTTAAGTTGGAGGAAGTTTCCTTAGGCTGGAGGAAGGCTCTGGACTTTGCTTAGTGGAGTGGCAGGATGTGGAGTGGCCAGTGTGTTGGAGAAGGGCGGCAGGTTAAGCATTGCTCCAAGACAAACCGGGACCTCCTGCAGCTGCTAACAGTGCTTTTAAAAAACATGGGTGATGTGTTCATAGATCTCCGGTGTCATGTCTCGTTTGGCTCATAAAGCATCAGCTGATCCACACAACCCCACCCACCAACCAATGCCATGCAAAAAAATCCCCCAACAAATTCAGTATTTTCTTCAGCACTCACCCTGCATGCATGAATATGTAGGTGAGGTACCTCCAGGCTTGGGCACGCAGCTGAGGATGATATATCAACGAGTTCTTCAAATATAAGGGGTGGGTGACTTGCAGCACAAACCTATCTAGTACCACTCCGTTGTAAAGAAAGAAGGCAACCTAGAAAAGCAGGGAGAACGCACAGTTAATGTCCATAGTCTGTTCGTGTGAATAAGCACGCTCGACTGTTAGCCATGACTAACAATGTAATCTTATATGGAGTTACCCCTGTCTATGTCCACTGGTTTCAACAAGATTTATCTGGAGGAACTTTGCACAGGATTGCAAGAGCTCTCAGTTCTGTTCCATTGTTTCCATGGGATTTAGTTACTGACATGCTAGACCTTGCCTATGTGCAGGGGTCGTTTCGTAGAAAAAAAGCTAGGGGAACTCATTAGCATAATTCATTAGCATATGCCACACCCCCTGACATCAGGGGCCCGGCGGTGGACCTGCAAGGCCGGCGGGAGTGCGAGGAAGCCCCGCCAAGGCCCTCCCTGGCCCCAGGCAGGCAGGGGTGGGGAGAGGCGGGGAGGAAGCAACTTACCCTCCCTCTTCTCCTGCCTCCTCCTGGCTGAATGAGGGCCGGAAGCGGCGCAGGTGAAAGCAGGGGGCGGGGCTTTGTTGTGTGCCTCGCCCCCCCCCGCACCTCACCCGGGGGAACTGTGTTCCCCCGCGTTCCCCCCCCGAAATGACCTCTGCCTATGTGTGTGTACATGTGACTCCTGCACTGGTATGGCGTAAATGGGTTTATAATGAAAATGCAACACTAGCTAGAAGAAATGTAATTTTAAAATGCCTCTTGTCTTTTCAATGTGTTCTGGAATCCCTAAAAAAAAATATCCATCAGGAATAGCATTGCTACATGGCACACAGAGTGGTCAAAGGCACTTTTTCAGTGTCCGGTATGGAAGCATCCACCATCTCAAGATTCTAACCCCACCTACAGCAATGTACAATATAACATACAGCAATTAAAACAATATCATAATGAACAAAGTCATCACTGACCAAAACAAATGCAAAGTAAGAGTCCTCAATAGGCCTAAATATGTTTCATTGAAGTAGTAGAGGGTGAAATGAGATGTTTCAAAAGACGCCCTTCTCCTTGGCAACATGTGGCATAAACACAACTTGTGATGTGAGACCATTGCACTGTTTTTCTACCCTGCCTCATATTTCGGCAAGGAGGGCACAGAACTGCCAATTTAGTTAGGATCCAACCTCTTATCTTGAAGAGGGGGAAGGGAAGACAGAGTAGTAGCCTTTTCATGTCTCTCACAACATCTAGGTCTGCCTTGAGTAAGTTTAATAGCACCAGAAGGCTCCTTGGGAAAATGCTCTACAGCAGGGGTTCCCTTACTGAAAAAGCCTAGCCTTGAGCACTACTAAGCCTTTATTCAAAGAGAAAGTACCTGCGGAAAGACCTCCCTAACATGTCAAAAAGACTGGTTCGGTTCATAGTGGCCAAGTCATTCATGCATATGCTGTGCTCAATCCATTCATGGATTTAAAGATTAATAGTCAGAACTGGGGTGTGTGTGTGTATTTTTGGATATGTGTGTGTGTGTGTGTGTGACTGCGTGTGTACCTGGAAATCATGGTGACCTCTGGTGACGGACCCTTATTGGGGGCCTGGAGGATATTCAGAGAGGTGGCTGAATACAGCCTGCCCCTGCCTCCCGCCTCTGGTATTCCAAGGAGGTCTCCCATCCAAGTACTTGCCAGAGTTGACCCTGCTTAGGTCGCAAGATCTGATGAGTATAAATATTGGTTTAATATGGTGCCTCTAACCTGCAGCCTACCCCTTTAAGCAGAATTCTGTACCAGCTGAAGCTTCCAGGACATCTTTGAGGGACAGATTCATGCAGGGCACAAATAGTAGCAGCCAGATCTCTGCAATCAAAGAAAGAATGCAGCCAGCTGATAAACAGGATCTGAAGGCGATCTTCTGGGGGAATGTGGTCCCACTGAAAACAGGCAAACACACCTCCTCTGAATCACTTTATGCTCACAGAGACTCACCTCTACAATGGTGATGGCAATCATGAACCAAGGAGGAGGGCAGCAGGTGTAACTGTCATAGAACCACTTCCGATCTATCTCACGCGGCAACGTTTCATATGCAACATGCCGAATCAACCGCTGGGAAAGGCTAAGCCCCGTCTCCTCCAGTAGTGCCTTGCTGCACAACCTTCGGTTCCCCTGCAAAATGGCTTGGCGGAAGCTATTGGACCTTTTGTTACTCATCTGAGGGAAAAGGGAAGATAAAAATAAAGGAAAAATTAAAATGTTGAAACCAAGCAATAGCCTACTAGTCAAACTGAAGGAGTTTGGCTAAGCTCAAAGAGAAGTGCATGAAAAGGTGGTCAAAAAGAGTATTTCAGCAGATTTGGGAGATTACCTTTGTACTTACCATATGTCTGGCATTACCTCCTGACCCAACCCACCAAATCTAGATCCTACTCTACTAACAATTTACATAAATCAAGCATCCCATATTTATAACTATGGTTTGTGCTCTGTTTTAAATTGTATGGAGGACAGCCAAATCGTATCTTATGAGGAAGTGGTTTTTAAAAATGGGTGGTATAAGACTATCATCTTTAAATATTTCCAGATTTGAAAAATCCCATTTGCTTCTAAGAAAAATGCAATTCCATATAAAATAACAAAATGTGCTCTATTAATCTGAGCTGGAAATATAAAAGAACAGATTGGCTTATTCTTTATTGTTAATTTTAGACAACTCAATGATTTTATGTGAGCTGTAACTGGGATGTCTGATGTACTACAGCTGATAAAGTTTGTAATTGGTCTGCTGTTTAGTCTTCTTTGGTATCCATAAATCTGAAGAAGAACTTTCTTGAAGTACAATTTCTCTGCTACTCAACTGTTATGAAACAGATACATATAATTTAATTCAAGATTAATGTTAGAGATGCTAGTCTAATGATACCAACTTTTATCATTTTTTGGACATGCTCTTCTATATAAAATTACTGGAGATAAATTCTTGATTTGAGAAATAACTGGAGAGACCATTTCTTATGACGCAAAGAGAGTTTTATTATGTTATCTGACAAAGAAAAATAATGATCTTGAATAAGTGATAAACATGAATAGCAGCAAAGAAGCGTATTATTTCGTATTGGGGGGGAAGTATCTGAGCTGCTATTAATATCTGACTGGTTTAAAAGAATGTGAACAATTGCACTCATTGTCAAATTTTAACCATGATGTATCCACAATAGCCCACGACAAGAATGAAGTGAAATGGTGGCAATTAACTGTTGACTTGCTGCCATCTCATTAAGGTCTTGGTGAACCACAGAAGATGGGACATCTAAAAACTGGGCTAGGCAGCAATAAAACAATTTGGACCTAATCAGATCTTGTGGAAGATCAGGGGCAAGAGGGATTTTCTGAACAAATTACATAACATCAGCAGACTTCAGGATCTGTGCTTGCCATAACAATTAAACCTGTCCTTTATGCAGATTTTTGGAGGTATGTATCGGTACAGACACATAGCTTTCTCCTAGTATTTGGAATACCGAAGCTGAACAGACACAGGGGATCCATGATTAGATCTTCCAGCATTTTCTCTAGACTTCAGGGCTGTATTACAAGGCAGAACAAAAAAATAATTCACTTTACTAATCTGGAGTGAGGGTCAAATAGACCCCAAGGTAAGTCACAGAAATAAAAAAAAAGCCTTGGGGATTCTGCTGACCATGAAACCAGGTGCGGAGGGGGGGGAAATCTATACTTCATTAAGTTTTTCCCTTTGGCAATAAAAACAGAACAGCAAGAAAGGCATTAGAGAAAAAACACAAGAAGTTTTTATTTTATTACTTCTACCCTACATGCTAATGTTACTGCACCATTCAATCAAAGCGGGGGTAAAAATTATCTGAGACCTTTAGTAGATACACTGGGGTAGCATGAAACACCACTAGGCAATTGACCTCATTTCACCCATTTCCTCCCTTTCCAGGGTCAATCTGACCCCCTTTCTGTTAAGGGCCAATGTGACTGTGGTTGACATGCTGGGGGAGGCATTAGCCATTATTTACTTTAGCCATTAAATACTTCCTTTTTTTTTTTTTGGCCCCCGAAGGGGAATTTTTTTATTTGCATTTCTATAAAACTACAACAGAAATTGGGGAGGGAGAGTCTACAATCTATAGGAGAAAGTAAAAAGAACCCAACTAAAAACCCAAGAATGGAGGTTTTACAATGCTTAAAACATAGTTGTTACTCTTATACAGTTACTTTCAAACATGAAGAGTGCCCGCCAATCATCGCTTCTGCTGACAAAACCAGCTTATCTGACTGAACAGAGAGTAATTCCAAAGCTATAACACACATAATCACAGTCCTTAAGAAAAAATTAGCATCTCCACGCTTTACTCCCCCCCCCATAGGCAAGATCTTTAAAACCAATGTTCCCTCAGTAAGAACATTACAACACGTTTTTCTTCTTCCGTCTTCGATGTATCTTCTTTCTTCAATTATCTTTTAGTTTTTATAAGTCCGGATCCATCTATTCGTGATATAAACCAAGTTCCTTTTTTCGAGGGACATCTTCGCTTCCTTAAACGTCTTAGATCAAAAGAGTCTTTCCTTTTGTTGCAGTAACAACACGCTCATTGGAGATTCCAACCTTTCTCTTAGCAAGCAGATCTTATAAAGTTGGGGTAGCGAGCCCTTTACTCCAGAAAACTGCTTTTCGATCAGCTTGCCAACCCAGCCACAATGAACTAAACTTTAGAGTCTCCTCACCATTCATACGTCTCTATGAAACTGCTTTTCAATCAGCTTGCCAATCCAGCCACAAAGAACTAAACCTTAGAGTCTCCTTACCATTCATACGTCACTATGATCAACATACTGTCCCTTTAAAAGTGTAGCTGCTTTTAGTACAGATCCAGGTCGCTTCTCACTTTAGCCACCAGAGGGCCCGCGATTCCCTTTAAAGACAGAGTCTATGGTTAGGTCACGTGACCTAACTTTCCACTGTCCTCCTTCCTGAAGAAAGCATTGATCCCGCCTCCCTCTTCGCCTCTCGTCGCCATCTTTTGGGGATGTTTACCTCAGCCGAGAAAGAATGCCAAAGTCTCTAAGGTCTGTTTAAACACTCAGCTTTCTTTTAGAAAAACTCTCCACTACTGTCCATCGCCACAATTTGATCAGTCCCTCCATCCTTGCTTTCGCATTTGCTTAAAATGTCGGGAGATAGGGCGTCCCCTCCCCCCCTCTGTTTATACGCTTATAGTAGAGGGACTTCACGTCTAGGCTTTAGTGTCTCGTTTCAACGGCAACTCACTCATCAATCCTTGAATCAATCCACCAGGTCCTAAGACGGCCCCTGGAATCACACCAGGCAGAGAAAATCACTAAACCTCCAAATGCTTGTCCCGGTGGTCGCTTCTAATCCAGTACTGGGAATCAGGGCAGGACCTTCAGGGCAGAGAGTAGCCCCCCTGTACCGGCTGCCGGCCGGAGGTAGGGCTCTCCAAAGCCCCCTGGCTAGAAGCCCATTGTCTATGGCCTCCATGGGGGAGCGTGCACAATCACGCTCTCTCCTAATCCCCGATTCATGGCACATGTCTCTCGGAGAAACCAAGAGATACCGCCATCGTTTAAAGCACCAAAACCGGGGGGGGGGGACCATTAAATACTTCCTAAGCCAATCTTAACCCCACTACAGGGGAAATGTTGTGATATCTATAGTGTCTATATATTTTCCCTGCCTTTGGGGGGAGGGTAAGACTGAGGAAAGGTCAGAGGGTTAAACACCCTCTTTTCTATCAGATTAGCAGCTCCAAAAAACGTCTTTGAAATAAATGGGGGGAAAACATTGGGAGATCTCAAACTTTGTTCCGTTGCTTCAGACCAACATGGCTACCCACCTGAATCTATCCTCAATCACAGTTTCCTTGGTCCTCATAAGCAGCTCCCTCCCTCAAGAGAAGGGCAACCAGTTCCTATAGCAGTTCTCCAGTGATGAATGAATGGGTGCAGATCTGGACACCCATACAAGCACAACCCTCTTGTTTTGCCACGTGCCTCAGTATTTGTACATTCCTACATAATTATGCACAACATAAAATGCCCCAAGTACATACACGTATAATGTGCAATTGCCAAAACCCACTCTGAGCACCTTTGACTCAACACTTCAACTTTCGAGTGACATCTGCTTGTTGAAAGCTGCCAGGGGCCTTGCTCAGCACAAGAGAGAGAAAGCACAGCATTTTTAGCATCCCTGGAGGTTTTTTGGATCATCTTTCTTTTTTTGGCTTCGAGCCTCTGGATTTCAAAGCCTGAACCTTCTGCTTTCAGATATACAAAGGCTGTTGAGTAATTGTTCCAAGCAGAGCCAAGCTGCTTAAAAAACATACTAACTGTTGCTGTGAGCAACTCCGAGACACCAGTCACCATATCAAGTAACCACCAAGCGGTAGCTTCTGAGTTGTCTCACACATTTTGATGGGCCTTTGGGGGCTGTTAATGCATCAGCGGGGTTTTTTCCCCCTTGTGATTCACAGATGACTATGGTGATGGTTCATAGCTAAAATGCAATCTCTGAGTCCAGAGGCACTAAACCTTTGAGTAGATGCTGTAGTCAAATATAAAGAAAGTATTGTCTCACTGATGTCTGCTTTACAAGCTGACCAGCTATGTTTGACCAGGCTCTGGTCTGACACAGTTATCTATATATCTAATAGCCAAGGCGCCCCCCCCCGCGTGCGGATATCTAAATCCGCACATCGGGGGCACCTGGGGGGCAGGGAGATTTTCCTGCACATTTGGGGCAATCCCCAGATGTGCAGAAAAATCTAAAAACTGTAAAAAACTATAGGGGGGATACGTAAATCCCCACAAAAGTAAAAGAGCATTTCCTGCGCATGCGCAGGGAATGCACTTACCTCTGTTGTTAGTGGCGGCAGCGGGCAGCTCAGAGCATGCAGGGCTCGCTGGTGTTGCTGTTGTGGGCGGAGGCAGTGGCGGTGAAGAGCCTGGTGGGTCTGGCTGCTTGGAGCCGCGCAGGACTCGCCAGTGTTGGTGTTGTGGGTGATGGTGGCGCACAACTCTCCCAAGTGAGCGGCCTCCCCGCAGCCAGCAATTCGGCCCCCGAGCTGAGGGACAGGGGTCGCCGCTGCCAGGTTTCTCCCAGGCGAGCAGCCTCCCTGCAACTAGCCAGTCATCCCTGGAGCCGTGGGGCAGGGGATGCTGCCACC